TACTCTAGCCAATCAGCGACTCTAATTGTGTCCGTAATCACTTAGTCCGTAATTACTTTAGGTGACGTACTTGTAATAAGTATGACGTCATTCGCCTGTTCAACATGCATTCAGTGGTGTCATCCCAACAAGAATGTAGTTGATGAAAATACTTTTTCGTAGATGCATCAGTAAATTGCCATGATCTCAGTGTTACTTATTTATAAAAGTTGGTGATAGTAGTCAATTGCTTGTTCGCTTCGGTGACTGCAAGCTTTGCTACACCGCCTGGTATTTCTATCAGCATTAGGAAAAATTGTCAATTGTACAGCTTTCGATCTATTTTAGTAAAGTTTAAATATTTAAAATCAGGCGGCTTTGCCGCACATAAATATAAATAATAATTAATTCTGAATTTAAACCGAAGAGTCTATTAGCCTTAGTTAAGGTAATAACTACTCCTGGGGGTAGCGGCTCCGAGGGTACCCCTTCTTCCGCACGGGTTGCATACCCGGACAGTACGTCCGTGGCTTCGCAAACAAAAGCGATTTGCTAGCTGTTATCATCCTCTTGTCTTCGAATGCGTGTTACACTTGTTAGCTCCCCAGCACTTTACTCCTCAATATTTGTTTATACATCTTCTAATCGAAACACGTATCCTTCGCTCTCTTTACTGTTGCATTTTTGAGTTTGAAAAGAAAGTATAAATAAATCGTTCATGACACTGATAACGGTCGACTGAAAGCGTCAAGCCGACAATACCAAGCCCTAGACAACCGAGCGCCACACACAGCACCCGTCCCAAGAGACAGATTTCCTCGTAGAGAAGGTAACAATTCCATATCCCCCGGAGGTCGAGACGTCGGGGGACGGACACGGTCTCTGCAAGGCCAAAGCTCGGCTCACGACGCACCGTTGGCGCATCTCACCCTCCTCGTCATCCCATGCTGGAAAAGGAGAACCTGACTCGTAGTCGCGACGAGGCACAAGAGCAGCAATTGGAGACTGCCCACAGGGCGTCTCTCATGCGCTCGCATCCACGTTCGGTCCCTTGTCTGGAGTACGGCTTCCGCTTGGCGAATCCCGCTACTGAAGCAAAAGACGCGATCACTTGATCGTAAGGCGTATACGTAGTCGAGCCCCCGGCAACTACACAGGTGAGCTTGATCAGCAGAAAGCGTCCCAAATTCGCTATTTGGTACCACAAATAACCTCCATGGATCGGTACCGCCATCGACTTCGAGCTCAAAAGGAGGCGCTCCTGTACCCGCAATGCGGACCATCCCTGTTGTGCTTGCCCCGGACAAAACCGCTACAGATGATGATGAGCTTTTTGAGCAATGGGTGCAGCAGTACCTGAGACTTTCTCGCTGTCTACCTTACAGCGAAGCCACATGAAAGTAGACATGCACGTGGAACGCCATCTCCGATTTATGTCTGCCAGACTGAAGGCGCAAGCCAATTTCCTGTGTATTGTCGCTCTGTGACACATTGAATCATCCACCGCCCCCCGCAAGCTCTGTGGTTTGTTACATGGGTCAGTCTAAGACCACAGCAGCTCAGGACATAGCTTAAACTCAGCTCATGGCACTCCAGCTTCCCAGGCTCCTATCGAGAAGCGTGAGACGCACAACGACGCGAAGCGTCATGGTCCTTCTAGTCATAAGTGTCTACGACGTCTGGGCAGTCTCGCTGAAGTGGAATCTCTACCTATCAAAGTTCTCGGGGTTTGGGTATCCCCGCCACCTCACTAGATACTGGGTAAGGCACTGTCGACGACATCGATCCACGAGGCGTTCCACGTGGCAGCGGACGCCACCAATCTCATCGAGAAGAGTCGGTGGCAGGCGATGACGAGTTGGTCGATCGCCGTTCGGTGACTTGCGCTTCTCTTCGAGTGTGTAAGGACAATATATATCGTCATCGGCACTCTGCCGAGCATTTTTCTGAGATCACCTACCGCTGTGCGAAAGGCCTCGGGCGCCTGGAGCACTCTGTGTGCACTCTGTGTGCACCGACTGCCTCACATTGAGGATTATCGTGTTTTGTCGGAGCGGCTCCTAGCGGTCATCAACCCACCCCCGCTAGGAAGCAGAAGCGCTATTGGCGCGGGCACTGGACGGGGACGGCCACCGTGCTACAGATCGGAGTTCTCAGCGGAATCTAGCGGTGAAAGTAGGTGTCTGCAAAATTTGCTACACAACCTGGTACTTTTGGAGATAAAAATATATGTTTTTTTCTTTTGAATGCTACCTTTTGCTTCAAGTTTGTGTCCCAAAATGACAAAATTATTGAAATAATCGTTTTCTACACTATTAAATGAGAAATTTCAATGACTTGAGGAGTGCAAAAATCCGATTCAAAGACGCATGTCACGACCAAAAATTCCAACTAGTTTTCTCAGCTTGATTTCCAAATTTCTACATGTTCATGGATTGCAATAGGACTCAGTCAAGTGAAGCTATGGAAACACCACCTGGCTAGCAAAGCTGTCTTGTTTCGACGTTCATGGCTAATAATTCAACTCTTTCGAAGATTTTTTTTTTATATTGATGTAATACAGCAGATATGTTGACAGCTGTAGTTGCGACAGCGACGTTTTGCCACGTTGTCGAGTGAAGTAACTAGCGGGTAATTTCAATAGAAGAGTTCAGCATTATGAGAAAGTCTAGCTCTAACTTCACATAAACCAAACCTTTCGTTTGAGAATAGTAGGCTTTGAGCCTTTGGTCAGCAATCGGTAGCACGTATTGGCTTCGCGATGTAATGAGAAAACTATAAAATGGGACAGAGTTGTCCTTATCTTTGTTGTAACGAATAAAACAGACGATACGTTCCACGTGTTCGATCAGCATATCGATCTACATCTAGTGTTTATGAAATCAATTGTGTTGCTGAATACAACGGATGGCTATCGTAAGAAGGCAATGAACGAATGTCTCCAAAAAGTTGAGAACGTTCGTATCAGTGAAACATGTCAATCTCTCAGTATATACTGCGAATTGACATGTATGTCTGATTTCTTAAGAGGAATTTTAGCAAAGGGATACGATGCGCCTCATACACGATTCAATACTTGTTTCCCTCCCTACGAGGTCCCTCTACACGTTAAATGTAGCACTATCATGCAGAAATGGAATAGCAGTGCATGTGCAACCGACCACTTTGATAGCGAGGTATCTTAGCTCAAATACTTTACGTAAAGCTTTCAACATTGCAGCAATACATGTTACGTATGTGTACGTATCGCGTCATCAATGCGTGACGTCACCATCGTGACATGCATTTAGGGCAACACCAAATCAAAATCATCACAACATTTAGCCGGTCTGGTTGTATAATTTGTGCCTAAGATATAATTGAAAAGAATGAGGGCAAAGCGATAACAACGTTGCTGTGCTCAACGGCGCAGTACCTAGATAGATCGCAAATGTATTATAGCCACGCCGATGTACTCTGAACTTGGCGCGAGAGTGAACAATGATACTTTCAGTGCAGGAAATGGGTTAGCCGAAATAAATTGTTCTTGAACATAGCGAACAGGCCATAAAAGCATATTCAAGTGTCGGGCTGATGTAGCGACTTCTGGTAAAAAGGTACGTACATTAGTCTCAATGCGACATATAGAGATCGTGAATGTCAACGTCCTGCTTTTAATGTAAGGTCGAGGCTCCCTGTAACAGGTTTAACGTGCTCTAGTAGGAAGGTTGTGTGTCACACAAGATGATGTAATCACACTATTGTGTGGCAAACACATGATGGTGTGAATACACTATTGTGTGACCACCCGATGGTGTAGCTACACTCAAACAGGAAGTCAGTATATGGCTGATATATCCATTCATTGAGTTTTACTTTTTGATTTGGTAACCTATAGAATTAGATCCTGGCGGCTTTGCCGCAAGAAAACAAATACGATTTGCGTTTTAAACAGAAGCGTTAATTAGTCTTGGATTAAGGTTGTACTTACTCATTAAGAACGTGGATTGCCCTCCGCTATATTTATACTGGTATAAAGTATAAAACAAAGTTCACCGACCTTGACCAAGCTTCATCTAAGCGAAAGAACATCGGCAGCCCCGCTGCACTTGGACTGAATCTTTGGGACTGACTTTCTGTGAGGATGGAGCAGTTCTCTTATTTGCCTCAGGCATACAGGACGGGCTTAATCAGCTGATGTCTCTACTTGGCCCTGAGGGCATGCAACACCTCGCTTCCAAAGGAACTGAAGCGATAAGCGCGTGCCTAGAAGTATTTTTGAGCTATGAAAACGCTCAGCTAAAGCATTTACAGCAGAAGATGCCGGCGTCGACTGCGTCTTTGACACACCGTCAGCGACAGATTACTCCCCCAGCCCAATCGTTAAGACTTTCGAGGTCAAGTATGGATAGAATATCTTGCTCTGGGTTAGAGAGGCCAAGATGGCTATCGCGTCCGCCATACTCCAGACCGAGCAACAGCGCGTAGAAGTCCGGTTGAAGCGGCGTTTGTCTCCTGAATGGAGCTGAAGCTCCAGCTGTTACGTGTAATCTCGCCACTTAAATTGGTATATCGAGTGCGATCGTGGTTCCTTGCTGCTCGACAGGGCAAGAAGAAATTGGTGAACTTTGTCCAACAGTTGCGTACTCTCATTGCCGGTATGGAAGCCGGCCTCTCTCCGAGGCGGTCACAGTGACCGTCTTTATGGAGGGCTTCCGCACTGGCGCGGTCAGAATGGTAGTCTTCCGTGTGCATCCGTCTTCTTTTAATTAAGCAGTGAATGTGGCATGGAATGCCGAAAGCAACATAAATTCACACGATTTGGTTTGAATTCACACTCTAGTAGCTCGTCGAACGGGCCTGAGCCGATAGATCTCAGTTATGCTGAGAAAGAGAAGGCAGAGCTTTCAGCTGCCGGGCAACGTTTGAACTCCCGACGGTGTTTTGCCTATGGAGACACCCGTCACCTTCACACTGGTTGTCACGTGCGCTAGGTGCGTCATAGTTCATCGAATCGAAGATCCAATTCTCACCAGTATTCTCGTCTGTCGAAAAAGACAACGCCTTACTGCGGAAGAAATGAGATCCGTTAAGTCTCAAAGAGGTTGAGGTCAGCAGTGCTCGGCTCCGACGAGCTGCGTGCTCTTGAACATGGAACGTGTATTGCTGATCGTGGAAGCTACCGTGAAGGGCTACGAGAAGCCATGGTAGGTCTGGATCGAAACCGACGCGTTGGGCAATTATGCTCGAGGCTCAACGATAGAAGAAAGTCAGCTGTATGCTGAGGCGCTGGAATCGCGGTTAAGTTACATCGTTACCGTTCGCTTAGATACGGGGACATGTGTCATGGTGCCAAGGGTCCCTGTGGACCTCGGTGTTAACTTTCTTGACTTTGGTAGCGTGGAACGCTGTTTAGTCTTTGACTTCGATTCAAGGTATGACTGGTATGGCACGGTTGGAACACCAAGACTAATGGGTCTATTGGAGATTAAAGATCTTAGGCGCTACGCGCATGTCTCTTGTTAGAGCTTTGTTTAGCCATAAGCCCACCTCTGCTAGGAAGCATAACGCTATTAGCGAGAGGATTGAACCGGCTTGGTCAATGTTCTGGCGATCAGAGTATGTGAGTTGTCGAACACCGAAAGTGTATCGGATAGGAATTCCGAGCATAATTCGCGGGCTGAACGTTGAGTGGCACATAATACACTTAGCACTGCTCACTTTTCGAAATGCCAAGAGTGGCATGATCGGGCGATGCCGCGGTGCTGCCGTAGCTCTTTGCTTCAAGGAAGCAAACCTAGGCTAACTATACCTACGTTCTTTCCAAGAACCAGTACTAATGTAGTAAACCGCATTCCGTTCTTAAGCCTTGCCAAGGCAAACGAGCACTTCTGTTCAAAACAAAACTGTAACTATTATATTTTGTTGCGGCAAAGCCGCTAATATCATAACCCTAGGTTTTCCTGGTTTACATAGTACTACCTAATATCACAAAACCTAATTGATATGGTAATATGCATCACTATCGGCAATCTGAATTCCTATTACGGTGTAGCCACACCACTGTGTTATTACACAACTGTATAATACAAACCTATCCACTAGGGTTACAAGGGTACATGTCACCCCGTTACACTCTCCCCCATTAAAATTGCGAATATCCTCGGTTCACATTTAACGGCCTCCTCATACAAGGCTTACGTGTCTAGTTTACGTTCATAAGATTACCTTAAACCTTCTCTGATTTATGAGCATTTTGTCTACGACACACAAAACAACCAGCCTAGCCGGCAAGGGCGCCCACAAACAAAGCCTTCTTCTCCTGGACAGGGTATATCTGAGGACAGTATATTCACATCTTCACGGGAAGCATATCCCAAGCCCACGGCAGCAGGGTGCAACACAACTCGAATGCCCCGGGCGACGGATTTCCTCGTCGAGGAGTTGGAGGGAGTCGACAACGAGTCAGAAACTCCTTTTCCAGCATGGGAAAACGAGGAAGTTAAGTGCGCTAACGGCGCAATGTGAGCCCAGCTTAAACCCTGTGGACCCCATGTCAGTTCCCCGGTCGCTCGGCTTCCAGGGAAAGTGGTATTATTTCCATCGTGTCGACCAGACACAGGAGCAGCAATCGGAAGCTGCTCACAGGGCAGCTCTCCTGCGCTCGAATCCATGTTCGGTCCCAAACCCTCGTGTGGAATACGACTTCCGCTCGGCGGTTCACGCTACTGGAGCGAAAGACGCGATC